ATTTTCTGGTCGATATATAGTGGTTCTGATGGTTTATGGGTTGTTAATGACTAATTTAGTTGAGTGCTGTAATGCAGCTGCAATTTGTATTCTCACCCTAGGTTTGCTTGTATAGATTATCTTTGAGGCGTATAAGTGGGACTTAACGGTTGCTGTGATCTATGGTTTCTGCACACATATGTTTTTAGACGAAATGATGATGAGAAAGATTGAAACTTGGCAGTGTTTGTAAAATAAACTGAAACTTGAGTTAGTTGAGAGAGAGAGAGAGAGTGTTTGGTGAAGAGGCTGAAAGGTGAGTTTTTTGTGTGCATTGTCGAAACGGAACTACCCCTATGTGCTTTCCAATTCTGGCTAAATGAAGCAAAATTAAAACCTGAAGCTGACATTTGCAGAAACTAACAAGTGATGTTTTCAACCTAAGTTTAAGAATATTATCTTCTTTGGTGAATGCAAACACGTTCATTGAGTAATTGAAAAGCTCTATTTTCATTTTTTGGTTATGTAGTGCTAAATATATTTTTAAAGCTTTAAGAATGCATTGGACTCATCCACCTTAAATTTTGCTGATGTAAATTTTATTTCTATGGTCCAGCATTTTGTCCTTGAGGAGAACATGCTAGAAGTCGATTGCCCTTGTGTCACACCAGAGGTTGTGCTCAAGGCATCTGGCCATGTTGACAAGTTTACTGACCTCATGGTCAAAGATGAAAAGACTGGAACGTGTTACCGGGCAGATCATCTGCTCAAGGACTACTGCAAAGACAAGCTTGAGAAGGAGCCTAACCTTAGCGCTGATAAGGCAGCTGAGCTCAGGCATGTGCTTGCTGTGCTAGATGATCTTTCTTCGGAGGAGCTTGGTGCTAAAATAAAGGGTTATGGAATTACAGCTCCGGACACAAAGAACAGCCTCTCAGACCCTTACCCTTTTAACCTAATGTTCCAGACATCAATTGGGCCGTCTGGCTTGAGCCCTGGGTGAGACATTGAATGGTTGAATGGATATTTTGTTCTTTTATTGATTCAGTAGTTCAGTCTTTATTCTTCATTTCTTCTTAATTAAGTTTCGGATTCGATTGGGTGCAGTTATATGCGTCCCGAGACAGCTCAGGGGATTTTTGTGAACTTTAAGGACTTGTACTACTATAACGGCAACAAGCTTCCTTTTGCAGCTGCACAGATTGGTCAAGCTTTTCGAAATGAGGTCTCATTTGCTACCATGATGCTTCCATCATTGCGTGATTTCTTAAGTATTCTTAGTATGTTTACTGGTGGAGCTAATAATAATTTACAACTGCTTTATTTCTTAGTATGAAGAACATTCAGAATATGCTAGTTGTATTATCAGTAGGGACATGGATAAGGTAATTGATTTATTTATGGCTAAAAAGAAGATCCATTTTTAGACAGTGCATGTGTTGTGGCGAAGACCAACTTTCAATATTTCAATGTGGTTCAGTTAAAATTTGGAAAACAAGGGCTTGTTCTCTAAGAGTCGTTCATGCGTATTATTTAGATATATACAATCATGCTAACATTTCTTTCCAAAAGATCTTTTCACTGTCCAGAAGATGCTTTTGGTTGTTTTTGTCAGTTTATTGAATAAGAAGACTCGCGTCTAAATGCTCCCTACTAAGTAAATCTTGCTCTAGTTTTTTCTTAAACTTACATTTTTCCTAACACACACTACAGCCACTTTGTTTATTTTCTACTTCTCAACAATCTTTAAAATTTGATCCTTTTTTAGGAGCATAAGTTTTGATTGCTTTCCTAGAAGATATGCTGGAAAATGTTATATAAGTTTCCCTTTGCCTATGGAGTGCATAACAATATTTTCGTAAATAGTGCAACTCATAATGCTTCTTATTCCCTACTCATATTAGAGCTCTATTGAAGTGTGATTCATTGTTAAGTTTGCTGATCTTATGTGAAATCTTAGAAAATCTGCTAGCTCTTAGACCAACGTGCTATGCCTATCAGATTGTTTGCAGACACTGAACAATAGCTTATTCTTTCCAACGTATAACTTCTTCAGATCTCTCCAAGGCAAGGTCTACTAAGGGTCCGCGAATTTACACTGGCCGAGATCGAGCACTTTGTGGATCCTGATGATAAGTCCCACCCTAAATTTGCTGAGGTTGCCACATTGGAATTTTTAATGTTCCCTAGGGAAGATCAGGTATCCGGACGAGCAGCAAGGAGAATAGCTATTGGGGAAGCAGTGGCCCAGGTCAGTCTATTATAACTTATCATCCAAACTGCTTGTCTATATGAATTAGATATTATTTTCTATGCTAACTAGTGATTGCGCTAACTAGTAATTTATTATTGTTCTGTGGTTCAGGGAATTGTTAATAACGAGACACTGGGTTATTTCATCGGGCGTGTGTATCTCTTCTTAACCCAACTTGGTATTGATAAGGACCGGCTAAGGTTCCGGCAGCATCTGGCGAATGAGATGGCACACTATGCAGCTGACTGTTGGGATGCTGAAATTGAATGCTCTTATGGTTGGATCGAGTGTGTTGGTATTGCTGATAGATCAGCATATGATTTGCGTGCCCACACTGTAAGCGTTCTTGTGATGTAGCATATAATAGCAGCTGTTTCCATAATGCTATACGGTCAACATGGGGCGATAGAACATCAAGGAGTGGTAATGGCTGATAATCGCTAACTCTGTGTGAATTGACCATTTTATGGGAATATTTTTGCAGGATAAAAGCGGAGTTCTCCTGGTTGCACATGAAAAATTCACAGAACCTAGAGAAGTCGAGGTTGTTCCTTCCCCATTTTCTGTATTTTTATTTTTGGTGAATTTGCTCATCATTGGTGTGGTTAAAAGTTGATTGCGATGTTGCTTGGTCCTTTTCAGAAACTTGTCATAACACCGGTAAAGAAAGAGCTGGGTCTTGCCTTTAAGGGTAGCCAAAAGATGGTGGTTGAAGCTTTGGAGGTACACCCAGTCCTATTACCAGTCTCTTAGTCCCTTTTTTTTTTGGCTTCCTGAAATTATCACACTTTTCTAATGCACCTTACTTGAATTTTCTCTGCTGATTGATTTTGGAACATTGATTTTTTAATGATTTCTCCTTGTTGAAAAGCAGTCGTTTTTTTTTTCATCTTTTATGGTATGTATTCGTAATGACAGAGTGTAGATCAATATAAAGTGGTCAGTTTTAGAATAATGTCTGTAGTGGATTGTAGAATGAATAGATTTGACCTTCCAGAAAAGTAACAAAAAATTGAATTTTTGATGAAATCTCCAAGTTTTTGTTGTGATGGAAATAACAATTCATTAACAATTCATTACCAATATATACATCTATATTGTTTTAGGAAATTTTGATTTTTTTTCCCACTTATTCTTAATCCTTGTTAACAGGCCATGGATGAAAAGGAAGCCATGGAGTTGAAAGCAACTCTGGAAGCCAAAGGAGAGGCTGAGTTTCGCGTTTGCACCCTCGACAAGGCCGTGACCATAAAGAGTAATATGGTCTCCATCTCCAAGGAGAAGAAAAAAGAGCACCAGAGGGTTTTCACGCCATCGGTTATCGAGCCATCATTCGGTATCGGGAGGATCATATACTGCCTCTACGAACACTCGTTTTACACGAGACCAAGCCGAGATGGGGACGAACAGCTCAACGTCTTTGGCTTTCCGCCCCTCGTTGCCCCCATCAAATGCACCGTGTTCCCTCTGGTTCAGAATGAGCAATATGAAGAAGTTGCTAGAAGGATTGCCAGGTCACTTACTGCTGTTGGGATAACGTACAAAATCGACGTTACAGGTATTGTGTGCTTTCGAAAATATCACGTGTTATATTATTATTGTTATTAGTATTAGTAGTAGTAGTAGGCAAAATTGCATATTAATGCATGTTTTTGCAATTTAATCACCACTTTTGAAATTTTACAAATTGATACACTACCTTTACCATTTTTGCAAATCAATACATGAATGACGGTTCCGTTAACAAAAATCTGACGAAATCTGGCATTGACGTGGCTTAAATGCCATGTCAGATTTTTGTGAGATTTTTGTTAACGGAACCGTCATTCATGTATCGATTTGCAAAAATGGTAAAGGTGGTGTATTACTTTGCAAAGGTGATTAAATTGCAAAAACATGAAAGGTGGTGTATTAATATGCAATTTTGCCTTATTATTATTAGCATTATGATGATGATGATGATGATGATGATGATGATGATGTAAGGTACCTCGATTGGAAAGAGATATGCGAGAACTGATGAACTGGGAGTCCCGCTGGCGATCACAGTGGACTCGACAAGCTCAGTGACTGTTAGAGAAAGGGACAGCAAGCAGCAGATTCGTGTGAATGTCGATGAGGTGGCGTCTGTGGTGAAGGAGTTTGCAGATGGCGTGAGCACCTGGGGTGACGTGCTGTGGAGATACCCGACTCATTCTTCTTGACAAGGGTTTTTTCGAGGTTTTTTTCGCCACACTTGTGTTTGTGCTTTTTTATCGCTTTATAGAATCTACCAAAAACACGCACTAGAGAATTATACAGAGACGCGCGTTGTGTTTGCTTACTTTTCTGTTTAATGTTCTCTGGATACGTGAATATTTGCTGGTTTCGTTCGGAAGTTGCAAAACAAGTTTATAATGTGGGATTTTATTCAACTGAGTCTATGTTGCATTGTAGAATGGTTTGCAGATTGGGTTACAGAAAATTACACAGGTCAAAAACATCAATTATCTTTTTCATTATAATGTTACCAAAATTAACAAGCAAGATTTTACGAAAAGTTGATTCAGTGAGTCAGTGATTAAACATTGCTTGTTTTAGTTGGATGGGAGTTTGCTGTTGGACTGATACTTGTTCTCTTGCAAGAAAATTGAATCTGATTTTCCTTTTGCTTTCATTTCTATTAAAAAGAAACAAATGGTTCCTTCACACTAGGAAAACTGCAGAGCAAATGCTACCAAATGAAGTCCACACACACACACACACGCACACGTTAATACGACATATGATCAACCCCACCGCTAGTGATGGAGGAGGCGGCGGTTGCGGCACTGCTCCTCTCGGCAAGGCAAAGCTGGCGGAGCTTGGTGGGGACGTACCACATCCAAAGGCGTGGGTGGGCATTGAAAATGGCGTCGATGTCTTGCCTAAATTTTTGAAGTAACTTTAAATTTTCATTAAGACTAAATTTGTGCAATTGACATTAAAAATTTAAAATCCAAACAAAATATAATATACTTTTTTTATTAAAATAATATTTATTTAACCTTCTATACTATGTTATAACACCATGTTAGTTATAAGATAAAATAAAACTAAGTATCGGTAAATTTAAGTAAAGTTTCAATATTGTTTTTAAAAAATATTTCTTTAACCTTTCATTCCATTTTAAATATTTTTTTTAGAACATAAAAAATTCAATTGTAGATCAAGTATTACTAAGCATGAAATTGAAGTGGAACTTAATTGTTATTACTATACTTTATTTGCATTTGAAAAATTCTCAAATTATATAGAATCAAAATTGACATAATATATATTAATAACACACATCTATTTTTATAATTCGGTTTCTTCGGTTCAGTACGGTATGAGACGGTTCGATTCGGTTCTCGGTACGGATATTTGTGAAATCTCCAGAACCGTACCAATTATTTTTTCGTTACGGTTCAGTTCGGAGAAAGTCAAACGGTCAACGATTATTTTTCGGTTCGGAGTAATATTCGGTTGGATTTTTAAAACTATTCGAAATTCTCCGAGTCCCATGTTCAGCCCTATCCGATACTACAGTTTTTAAAACATTGGCGACAAAAAGCAAAAGAGATATAAGTAAAAAGAGAGAAATAACAAACAAGTGTCACTTCCCGAGATGGAGTGATGTGCAGATGATTCTTTGGGCCCATTCAATTTTATTTCAACAGAGAAGCCCAGAGAGTCGTACGTGAGCTGTCGAGGCCTCATGTGGACAGCTCGATGATCTGTAATCTGACACAGCAATTAGGCCCTCTTTTTGAGCCCAATACTTACAGCTCCATTAATTAGTACGGAAGTTTCATCATATTAACACATGAATCCTTTGGTATGACCAGTGACGTGTCAGCAAAAATGATAACCCGTTCACCGTTGGGCATTTGTAGGGTATCATTATTACCTTATCCTTTAATTTATGGGACATGCTATGGTCTTGTTACGGTACCATTCCGTCGGGTGTTTTAACCGTTAAATCAATATGTGATTAGATAAGATAGATGATCCAACAGTTAAAACACTCGACAGAATAGTACCGTAACGGGACCGTAACATTCCCTTTATTCGATAATTTATCGCCACTTTCATTCATTTTTAGTGCATGCGTTGACCACTGTCAGAAAAATGCGTTAAGGTACCGTTGGGCATTAACACATATAACACATATGAATCCTTTACTATAACCGCTGTCATGAAAATGCTAAGGTACGTTGGACATTTTGAGGATGTCATTTCCCTTGTTTTTATTCAATAAATTTTTTTGGCACTTTATGTTTAGTGCATGCGGGCTGAATATATTCTGACAAATCATATTTTTTCTACTTTGTAATTTTTATATTTATTTTGATTAATTTAAAAATTAAAAGATTAATGAATGAACTAGACATTGTGTATTTTGTTCGGCATGATCGGGACAATACTAGAACAAAATATGTTGCTATAATGGTCGTTGAGTTGGGTCAAGTGGGATAAACCGAGTTATCCGAACTCGGGCCGTCTCTCAAGGCCTCTTCTCCAACTTGCCACATCAGATTTTGTCCACTATTTACTAAACATGATGCATATTTGTCCTTGTCTAATCCACTGTTTACTATACATGATAAAAATGTTGTAGAAAATTGTG